CATGAAAATAAATGATAACAAAATAATGTAATTATTATTTAAAACAATTAAAAAAAATTAAAAAAATTCCGCCGAGCCCGCCTAGACACCGCCAAGCCGCCTGGCCGATGAGCCTGTCAGGCCCGCATAGGTACGCCTAGGCGTCTGATCAATTTTTCAGCCGACTTATGCAAATCGGAGGCGGTAAGCACCGACCAGCGCCTAAGCCGACTTTTAGAACAAAGTTTTATACTATAGATGTTGACTTTATCATGGTAAACAACAAATTATGTAAATAATTTGACAATTTCCACACAATATAAAACGTTAACTATTGTTGTTTGTCGAAGTCGAATTTACTACCATTTAGGCTATGTTTGGTAGACAAATAAACTATTATTTGATTAGTTTATACATTTCGGCATTTAAATAAACTCTGTTCGGTTTGAGTTTTTTTTTTTTTAAAGTTCGAACTTATCTCATAAAACTTATTTGAATACCTTTTCAAATAAGCTCGTTGAAATATTTATTTCAACTAGCTTATCAATTATTTTTTACTAAATATTTTTATCATAAAAGTTATCTATTCAATTATAAGTCATCAGTTATAAGCTCTAAACTTAAAAATTACTAATAAGCTATAAACTAGCTTGTCAGCTAATTTTAGGAAACAAGCTTAACCTAATATTTCCAACAATTATTCCATGATTCTATTTTACGGTCAGTATACACTTTTTGACGCTCGTTTTATTTTGAACGGGGCAAGGTGGGGGTAACAAAAGAAATTTAGCAACTTAATTAGGAACATGTATCACACGTGTAAAATCTGAGAACGTAACTCACAAATATTCTACTATAACGGGTATTCAAATCCATTTGGGCTCAAATATTGCCACCGGCGCACTAATTGAGACGAGACTTTTCTTTACCACCAAGACAAGGCATTGTCAAAAGCCTCTGTCTCTCTCGATCTACTCTCCCTTTTAGCCAAGCCAAGTCAAGCCAGCCAGCCAGCCAGCCATGATCTCTACCATACCACTAGGTTTTTCAACATGGTTGGCGCTATTAGTCTATCAAGTTTCAGTCTTTACATTGTCTTATAGAATTTCATCTTCTCTATTATCGACAACAACAAGAAGAAGAAGGAGAAGTAGAAGAAGAAGAAGACCACCACCGATAGACGAGCTACCGGACGCTATCTTGATCTCCATCCTCGACCGCCTTCCGGTCAAGGACGCCATCCGTACGTGCGTCCTATCCCGAAGATGGGCCCACCTCTACAAATCTGTTATCCACCTCGACCTCCGTTGCCACCACCTCGTCTGCCGCCCCAATTCCCGCACCTGGATACGCCTCTTGCTTCAACGATACTTGTTCTTTCTGCACTTGGACGATTACCCCGAGCCCATCGGCAGTTTCCGGCGCCGGAAGATATCCACGATCGCGCCAAAGTATTTCCGCTCCCGAAAGGACTCGAAAATCAGCAGCCTCGTCTTCTGCTGCTGCCTCTCCATTTCGTACTTGGAACGCTTCCCGCAATTCGTCTCCGCGCACTTGGGATCCGTGAGGAAATAATTCATAAATCAACTGATCTCTTTTTGAAATATAGATACAAATAGTGTATTGACATTCTGGGATTTTGTTTTGAGTATGATTCATGAGGAAAAAATGGGATCTTTGGTGATTTTGTTTGGAGATTTTGTGTTGCACAGAAAGTGTTTGAGGTTTCTACTCACAGAGAAAGACATTGTGCTGCACCAGTCTTCCTTTGTCATGTTATGGTTCAGTTGATGAAGTTGTGGTTTGATAATTTAGCTATGCTGTTATACAGATTATGATGATATTTGAACTTTTTCAGGAAACTCGCCGTCCAATGTTGCGAGCATAAAAACTCTGTGTATTTGCCCGTATTCCTGCAGCCACCACCTTCCCAAGACCCGCCGCCTCACCCATCTGGAGCTCGAATTGACCACTCTTAACTCCAACTCGGCAAGTGGGTCCCTTCGGATTCTCAGGCTGAGTCGAGTCGAGCTGGCGGAGGGCTCCCTCGAGTCCCTCCTGTCTGGGTGCACGGCTCTCCGCGTGTTGAGGATGGATTACTGTAGGTACCCTCCCGGTTCTTCGACCGTACGCTTCTGTGGGCCCCACCTCAGGCTGGAGTGCCTCGTCATCGAGATGTGTGCAGGGGTACGGGAGATCGAGTTCCACGCGGCCAGCCTCGTCAGCATTGAGTTTCATAACCGTAAGCCAGTCGAGTTTATATTTCATCACATCCCTCGTCTGCAGACACTGCACGTCGACCTCAGCATGTACAGTAACGTAATGCGTTACGTCTCGGGGACATTGCCCTTTATATTGCCGTCTGGTGGTCAACTGAGGTCGTTGACCGTGGGTAGCGCGTACGACGTTGATATGTTTCAGGTAATGAATATTGATACTATGTGATCTTGTACTTTTTGTTTTTCTGTCTTTGATGTTGCTCTATGTATCTTTGACATTGCTGTAGACCATTGAATTTTTCGCCTCTATTATATTCACAGGTCGGGGGTGTAGCCTCAACTCCCCATCCCACTGGGATGTTTATATATATAAAAAAAAACATATTTAATTAGCTTATAAATTTTTTGTATTCAAATAAGTTTGGTATAAATTTTTTGTATTCAAATAAGTTTGGTTTAGTAGGACATAGCGCTGGAGCTTATCTCATAAGTTTCATTGGGTAGCTTCTCAAATAAACCCATTGAAATTTTTATTTCAGCTAATTTTACAAAACACTTTTATTATATAAGCTAATTTTTCAGCTATAGGTCGTAAGTTATTAGCTTTAAACTCGAATTCACTTAAATGTTATATGTTAGTTTATCAGCTAAATTTACCAAACATAGCCTTAATGATTTCGGTTTTTTACTTTTTCCGGTTTTTGTCATTAGGTCCCTCGGGATGTTCCGGCCGACGCGTTCAACAAACTCAGGCGATTAAGGCTTAGACTCGGTTATGCAGCTTACACGTATATGATCTTCGGGATGATTCCGTTTCTAAACATCTGCCCTGTCTTGCACGAGTTCCGCTTAGACGTAAGTTTTTCAAAGTTAATTCAAACGACATACACTACACCCCAAGTTTTTCATATATATTTATTTTTTTCTTTTTTGTAGACAGAATTTGTGTACGATGATGGCCCGAAGATGAAGATGTTTTCATCGGGCACACTAATCCACACGGAGCTGAAGAAAGTGGAAATAAATGGATTTTGTGGGACAAGAAACGAGATCGAATTGTCATCGTGCATATTAGAGAACACAAAATCTCTTGAGCAAATGCAGATAAACAGGTGCCCCAGGTGGGATATGAGAGGCAGCCAGTGGTGGATGCACAAGCCCGAATGGAGTCAACAAACGCGCGAAAAGATTCTCAAACTAGTGCACGGGCAAAAAAATTCCAAAAGCGCACGAGTGATTATTCGACATGTTCCTGCTTACGATGACACTTGGTCGACACGCTACACGGATTATGATAACTTTGTTCTTTGATTATGCAGCACAATATATAGAGGACATCTTGTCTAGTATAATTGTTTATCTGATCATAGCAATTAGCACCAAAAGTTTTGCCGTTTGCCCCATAACCCATTGTCATGAAATGATCAAAATCAGCTCAAAAGAAACGCCTTTAACATTATTCATGCATAAATCGAAGAAAATTGAAAGAATAAACAGGCGGAAAACATACTCAAAACATTGCATTATTTTAACCTATGATCAAATTTTAATACATAATATCATTATCTAACGTATAATGTTAATACTATATGCACAAATAAAACTTATAATATTTTATGTTTAAATTTTAATATCATTATTTGATTTATAATTTTAATATTAAACGTATATAAATAATTTATAATATTTTATTGGGGAGTATAAAAAATTAGAAGAACACAGTAAATTTGGCATCAAGTCCCCCTCTCATCCAGCAACCTCCATCGATCGATCGACACACCAAAAATCCCACCAAAAAAATCCCAAAAATGCCGCCAGCTAAACCCTCTCGGAGATTCTCATTCTTCGGCCTCACCTCCACTGCCGCCGCCACGTCCGGCGGCGCAAATGTAGACCCGCCGCAGCTGAAACTGGAGGCCGACAGGGAAGTCTACAGACCCGGCGATCCGATCACCGTCACCATCGAGGTAAAAAACCCCACCAATTCGTGGTCGCTTCTGATGGAGAAACTCAGCTTTGAGATTAAAGGGATCGAGAAATTGGACACTCAGTGGTTCAGCACGCCTAAGCCTAGTCCTGATTATAAGCATCGCCGAGGTACATTTCTCGTTAATCTTTTGTGCAAATTCTTTGTTCTTAGAGTGGGTATTCGAAGGATACGTTGTGGGTATGAGGCAGTTTCAATTTTCAGCTGAAAGATTGTCCATTGAGTGATGTATTGATTGGTAGCAAAGTGCAGAAAGAAGATGCAAATTAGCTCCAGTAATGAGATTTGTAGGGGAAGTTTAGTTAATTATTCTTACAATTTAATGATTTTGAGTTCCTTAAATTTAGCTGTATGTAAGAGGTAAAATTTGCATTGGGTAGGAGCAGCTGGAATCACTTGAATCGAAAGGATCAGACCGAATTATATAACCTCACGCTACTTGTAGTTTTAGTCTGTATATGTTGATACTTAGACATTTTCTGAAAATTGAAGCATTTTCTTGCAATAGCCCTCCACTTCATAATCATTATCTACTTTTTGAGTTTTCTGTTGAAATGGGAGGAAAGAAATTTGCAAGTTAACATGCCCGGCATACTATTGTTGTCTTCTGATCATTCAATAATGCATAACCTTTTTGGTGCCAGGTGAGTATATATTCATGGATTGCTCAGCTCCAAGTGTCGTCTCTAATCAAATAATCTCCAGCAGGGCCACCAAAACTTGTAAGGCTGAGCATATTAATAATTGTTATTATGCAAATATTTATGTTCATAAAATTAGCCTTCAGTGTCAGTGATTGTGATTATGATTATGGGCAAAATCGTAAAGCATATGGCGCTGATTTCTCTAGTTCTTGATAAATAACGTTTTCTGCATTCCTCATACTTTTCACTGGTTTGTGTTGTAATGTTCTTACAATATTTCTTATTCTTATTTTGACAATGATTCATTTGATTCATTCATGCTCTGAATGTCCCAATATCTTTATTTTTTTTATTTTTATTTTTATTTTTTTTTACTTGTAGATGTCTTAAAAGCCCTTCTACCAAGCCTAATACCTCCATCTTACAAAGGGGCAACAATACGTTATTTGTACTATGTTCGGAGTACCTTGTCTGGCCAGTATCTGATTCTGGAAGATGGAACCTCCCGGAGAGAGTCGAGACAAGAGTTTTCTGAAGTGGTGAGTGTATAACTCCCCCTACCTTATCTGATTACCTCTAAATTGTTTCTAATAGTTTCCTTAACTAACTCCACAGTTATTGCTGCATAGGATATCTTGTGTAGTGACTGGAATGAAGCTTGTAATTATTGCTCTGCATTTTCCGCCCATACCCATTAAGTATAATTATTTATCTTACCATTGTTTGAGCTGCTTTTTAGAGGAACCCTTATGCAGTTTTTTCCTCAGTCGTTCTTGTTTTCTCTTTCTTGGCTTTTGCTTCTTCTTTTTGCACTGTCATCTGTGAGTGGGTCTATATTTTCACGAAAATTTTCATTGTCATTTCATTCATCAGCCATTGCATATTTGCTCTGTTAGTGAATGTTGTACATCACTGTCATCAATCATTGATATGTTTTTATAAAATTGTGGATTTGTGTTTCTTCTTTGTTAACATTATCTTATTTTGATCTACTTTTGGCGACTGTCTACAGGAAGTTCGAATACCTCTGCAGATATGGATTATTCAGAAAAACAACAGCATGCTCAGTGAAGAAAATCGAGCTGATGGTAGTGTTTTCTATCTCATTAAGATACTTTTATCTGAAATTGCTTTTCCGTGCTTTAGGCAGGCTTTCTAAATTTTTTTTCATCAACACGTCTTCGGGTCAGCAATAAAATGCCATAAAATGACATAGGAGCTTAAATTTCTTTGTATGATCTTATTAGGGACAGTTCCTTTATCACCCATCATCCTGGATGCATACTGGAAAGAAACAGATTCTGATTCTGAATGGGTGAAATTTCTGCTCGGATCTGTTATTTAAGTCTCCTATGCATTCTTTCAATCTCTCTAGTATAAGAGTTTGTGCCTTTTGATTGGATTGTTTTTCATCATAGGCTAAAGCGAACGAGACTTCTGATGAAGCTGAAGAAGGGTATGAGAGTTCAAGGGATGAGATATTGTCTGTTTCTTCCTACAACCCCATGAAGGATGATTTAAACAAACCTTTTGGGAGTTCATTGTCATTACAGTCATTTGCAGCGAGGTCTTCAAATCGCGGGTCACTTTATGTTGAAGGACGGGCTAGCATATCCTCAAACATGGGAATCCCTCCTTTGTCTGTGGCTGAGGTCTCACAGGATTCTGCTGGCGGTAATTTATATTTTAGAACTTTGTTTTTAGTTATTCCTAGAAACATGCAGATGCAGTTTTGAGTCTGAAGAACTTCCTTAAAATTCAATTGCTTAACAGAATATGTATAAGTTAGCTTAGTTAGAAAATTAAACCCTGAAATTTCGACCTATCAGAAAAAAGGGGGTCCAAGTTACCTTTCAAATATAAATAACACCCTATTGACACGTTTTTTTCAATTACAACTTAGACCTCAAGTGGAGAATGCGGAGGTGTTTGTAAGATATATGCAAACCTCAAGAGGTGACTACAACACTTTCAAGTGGGTATATGTGATTTTGAAGTAACTTGACATCTATTTGTATATAGGCTAAACCTCAGCAGGCACTTTTCCTTATTACCCCTACATTTCTGAGAATATCCCAATAGTAAGTTGTTTGCCCTTTCAGCTGATGATGAGCACTTTTCCTGATAGTCGTGTCTTTAAATTTTCTCCAGACAGGTCTCCAACTATTTTATCTTCCAATCAGCCAAGACATTTCAAATCCCTCACCGCAGATGAGGACTCGAGACTACCATCTGCCTCCGTACCTGTCGAATCTGGAGCATGTAATTTGGAATTTCCTTTATTCTTTCCAATTATATTGCCCCTATATTGTTTAAGACTAATTTTCTAGCAACATTTGCTGCAGCAGAAGGGTTTGCTCGAGGGAGGTCGTACAATATCAGACTGGATGACCAAGTTCTGCTGAGATTTTCACCTAAGAACTCTGAATCAACTTACTACTTTTGTGATACGGTGATGCACATTAATATTAGTGGTGCCAAATGTCTTTCCTCAGTTTTATTATTTAACAGCGTGTTCCCTTTTCTTCCGGTCTTTCTTTTTAAATGATGTACAGATAGGTGGAACCCTTACTTTCTTTCATGAACAAGGGGCTAGGAGATGCCTTGAGGTACCAACTCACTTGAGTCTGCATTATTGGTTATCAGCCACTACTTAATTTTTATTATTATGAGCTGATGGGTGATACTTGTTTCATCTTAGCTGTCAATAACCTTGGAGATGACAGAGACAATAAGTCGAAATAATGTCCATCCTTCTCGAAGGCACTCCCCTAGTATTACCAAGGTAAAGAGTTTCCTCATTTTGCAATTTTTTCATTTTCTGGATAACTACCTCATGCTGATTTTTTTTTATTATTATTTAAGATAATGTAATCTTTTGGATTGTTACCTCTTCCTATTGGTTAGGTTTGTATTTTATTGCCTTCGAGTGGCTAATCATCTCTAACCTTGTCTGATCATACAGGTTCACAGTGATCACCATGAGGTTGTAGCAGATTTAGTCCAGACGAGCTTTCTCTTCTCCATTCCAATGGATGGGCCTATGACCTTTTCTACCCGATATGTCTCTGTGCAATGGGCCCTTCGATTTGAATTCCTTACAACCCCAAAGAATGTGGACTGGACAAGGTATAATTTTTCTTCTGGTCAAATAAGAATATCCTGGTTCAAAGAATTTTATTTTCCTAGTGTTCGATACTTCTGTTTATGTCTTTTTTT